GGCTTGTTTTACAACGTCCATGCCAAGCGACGAAAACCCAACCCCGATGGCAAACACCCAGGGGGGGGGCGGCTTGTTTTACAACGTCGTTGCCAAGCGACAAAAACCCAATCCCGATGGCAAACACCGGGGGGAGGGGGGGGTTGCGTTTTTTCCACCAGCAGTCGCTTGATTGGTTTCACAGCGTTTTGTGGCGATGTGCAAGTGCACGAAAGGCTGCTCCGGAAACAGTTGGAGCGCGGTTGTTCTTTATTAGCCTTTCTTCCCCGCACGCAGCGGCTGTTTCCCTCTGCCTAACCCTCGCCTTAGAGCCCGTTCGTCATGTTTGCCCCCCGTGCCTTGGAACTGTGCTGTATTTTCCCCCCACCCATGGTCCTGTGGTCTAGTCTTGTCACTAGTGTAGATTGCTGGTGCCCATGGCCCCATCCTCTAGCTTTGCCGCTTTTGTGGATTATTTACTCCCATGGCCCGACACCAAGGTCCTTGGGCTTTCGTGGGTACGTTGCGGCCGCGAAAGCATCTCGTCCCATGCCGCTGCTTTATGTGTGTGACTTCACGTGTATGTGTGACGTCGTAAGTCATAAGAGTGGCGTCACGTCTCTCCGGAACAACTTTTTCGCTCTCGCCGTCTTCGAACGAACGCCCTGCTGCTGCTGTACGTACGTACGTAGTGAACCTGGAGGAGCCCGATGCACGCACGGTGGCCCTGGCGCGGCGACAAGAGTACCTCTACGGGTTCAAGCCGTCGGACCTGCCCAGGGAGGTGCTGGACGAGGTGGAGGCGGCGGGACCGGAGACGAGGAAGTTGGCCTACGTCAGGTGTGGGGGGTGTACTCATAGCTATGCACGCTGTAGTCGTTAGACCATCGACCTCGCATCCCTACAAAGTCGGGACGGAGCGCTATGCCGGGTTCTTACCCGACGAGGCTCTCACATCACCAAGCGCGAAGCGCCGTGAGGTATTCGGCGAGTCGCATGGAGGGTGCGCTGCATCCTGCTAAGGGTGTTCGGCGTCTTGTAGCAACTTCTTGGCATACGGATGACAGCCTAGGGTGGGAGATCTTTGATGACTTTCGTTTGTTTTAGTTTGTGTTGAGGATCTCTGTTTGCCCCGCCGTGGCGTGTGACGCCATTTTTTATATAGTTTGGGTGGGAGGTTGTATTTGGAGCAGGGCGGGAAAAGTAGCGCAGACTCGTTAGGCGCGTTAGCGCCGAATGAGCCAGGGGCTTTCGGCGCCCCGCCGCAGGCGCCGAAGCCCTCCGCAGGCGCCGAAGCCCTCCGCAGGAGCCGGCCGGAGGCCCTCCCCGGAGCGGCCGCCGGAGGGGAAAAAATTAGGGTAGTATGAGTCATTTCGTCACTTTCTGGCGCTAATTTTGAAGTGCACCTTCATCTTCTTCCGTGCTATCTATATCTATGTCGTTACTATTATATTAATATAGTAAGTATCCTGTTTTTACGTATTTATTTACTGTTCGCTACTGTATCATCGTAGGTAGCAGTAGGTGCCGGTCAGTGCGCGTCTGCATATTCGACGCAAAAGCCCGACCAGCCACCAGCTGACGTTTCAATGTGTGAAAACAAACATATGAACAACGCGTGTAAATTAACATATTACGTGTTTATTTTTACAGACGAAGCAAATCAGCACACCAAAAGTAAATGCTTGCAAGGGTCAAAAGCGAGAGATCATTTTTGTTCGTGTTTTTGCGAACGAAGGGAAACCCGCACAGCGCTTACCAAACTGGGGGCTACAGGCCACAGGCTATGTATGTGCACATGCCACATATATATATCTATCCTCCAGTACTTCTGTACAGCATGTCCATCCAGTAGCAGTAGTAGGAGCCAGCCAGTACAAGTCTACTCCACTCTACCATCTGCTGGCGTCACAGCAGTTGTCGTATTGGCTGCAACGAGGCCTCGTCCGTCCGTGAAACATTTTGGACCCATGGTCCAGATGGAGACCAGCACGACAGCACACCAAGACACGAGTCACCACGGCAGCAGCAGCAGCAGCAGTCTGCTCTGTTCTGTTCTGGTCTGTCTGGTAACAGGTAGCAAGTAGCAGGGGTGATCTGGCTGGATGGTGGAAACCTCGAATTGTTGCGGGGGGTCCGCAGGTTTGTGCGCCGAAAGTACGGCGATGTTTCTTTGTTCCTTCAGCGGCCGGCAAAAATTGCGTCGGCGGCTCTGCGCCGAATTGACCCCAATACCCCCCAAAAAATTAGGCGCAAGTGCCTTTTTTTTGCGATTTTCGGCGCAGCGCCGAAGCGCCGACTACTTTTCCCGCCCTGATTCGGAGTCTCTGCTTGGGACAAACGGCGTGACGTCATGCCTTTGAATGTGGGGAAAGCATTGCTGTCGCAGGCCGTACCCTACCGCAGCAGGCACGTCGCGTTTTTTTTTGCCTTGTGGAGAAGGCTTTACGAAGAGCCTTCGGCGGATGTGATAAGAGTGTTCCCCTAGCGCTTGGCTGCTGTTCGTTTTTTTTTGCTCTCGCTGTTGCTGCGCCCGCGCAGTTCGCGTGGGTTTCTCTTGGTCTCGTCTGGCGCGCCATAATATTGCGCCATGTAATATTTTGCTGCTCTTGGTGGTGATGCTCCTGCCTAGGTCAGACGGGGTATGTATCTGTAAAGCTCTTGCTGTATATTCATTTGAGGCGGCGGTGTCTGATCCTGTGCGCGTTTCCGTGCTGCTGCTGCTGCTGCTGGTGCTGCTGGTGCGGCTGTTAATGTTTTTGTTATTTTCCGTGTGTGAGAGCAGGTTGCTGGCGGGCATATCGTCACCTCCGTACCAGGACAACCTACACCTCGCCAGGCAGCTGAGATGGGCAGCTAGGGTACTCATGCCGAGGGATAACGCGGAGGTATGGCATGACATGCATGTTGATTGAAGTCTCTTGCGCTACGCGGCGCGATGCTCTTGTCCGGTCTCGCTCTCCAGACCCGCCCTTGCTGCAGCTGTACATGTCATTCCCCCGAAAATATGTCATCGCTGCCGACAACCTGGACGGCATGACGTATCCCCACGCTCTCTTTGGCCGGTACAGTCGTAGGGCCCCTTCCCCCGCCCCCGCCCCGACGCCTTTCGCTCTTGGGCATGGAATTTAATCGGGATGTTCGTCTCTGTTTTTTTCGATGCTTTTGGGTGTAAATTTATTGTAGGCCAAGCTTTCGACGACCATCAAGCAAGCAGCAGCCTTCCCTCAGACCCCCCCCCCCCCCCCCCCCCCCCCCCCCCCCCCCCCCCCCCCCCCCCCCCCCCCCCCCCCCCCCCCCCCCCCCCCCCCCCCCCCCCCCCCCCCCCC